TACCTGGAATGATATATTTCAAGTTCCCCATTACTAAGTTCGCTATGGTTATTTAATATAGTAAAATTAATTAATATAACTTACTTGTATATGTCTGCTTACATAAGAAGTCAATTTTTACAAGCTATACATAACAGAAATATTACATAATTGGACAAAGGCTTCAAATTTTATGATAGTATGCATGATGTCCAGCAAAGGAGACATAAACCAATTGTCTTAGAGCTTTGACTTGTTTTCTTATGCCTTTATGCCTTTATAATTCTGATTGATGATATCAAATATAAACCATTGTGAATTTTTATTTTTAGAAACTGCTGGTCCAAGACAAGGAAATATGTATAATTTGTCAAAAGACAGTTTATCCAATGGAGTGCCTCATAGCAGACAGGCAGAATTTTCATAAGACCTGCTTCAGATGTCACCACTGCAACAGTAAACTGAGGTAAAATGCTTTGTAGTCTGTGACACAGATATTCAGTAACCTTGCAGTGTATATATAATGTCTGACTCCAGGGAAAAATAGAATTTTCCAGATTTTTCAGCTGTGGTTAGTTGATGCAGCCACACAAGCAGATATTTCCATGTTCTGCTGTGCATTCTTCAGGTTGGGTCTGACCATTTTTCTTTTGGAATTCTGCTTTCTTAGTTATGGAAATCATGTGGGAAAATCAGGGAGTTATTGTGCAAGTCAGGAATATTAAGTTAATGCTTTAATCTAAATTCTAACCCCTAGAATCGAAGTTGGCAAACACTGACGGTAAAGGGTAGATAGTAAATGTTGGTTTTGCAAGCCATACTTGTTTCCATCAGTACTAAGTTTTCATTGGAGTGCAAGAGCAGTCATACAGAGCAAATGCGCGTCACTGTAAATGAATAGTTCTGACAGTCTTTCAATGAAACTTCATATCCCAAAGCAGGTGATGAGGTAGAGTTTGCCTGTTTGAGCTATGTTATAGAAGTTACAAAACGAAATTTAGTAATCTTGGTGACAGGTCAGAGAAAACTTTATTTCTGAAGCAACAGAAGCACCCTAATCAACACGATTCTGAATGTTTTCGTTTCCCACACCTCTTGAAGTAAGTGAATTTAAATGATTGTGACATTTGGTGTGGCTGTAGTTTGAAATGCTGAAATGGAATTTAATCTTGCTGAATCTATGTGCGTCTCTCAGACTATAGCTTTCCAGAATTAATTGACAGTGTCAAGTATCCCTCATTGCAACATTCTTTTCTCTTGGTTTCTATGACAACATAGGACAATGATTTTTTTCCTCAATTTCCGGTGCTTCTTCTAAGACACCTGTGTGGAAGTACAAGACTCTCTGACCATCAGTGAGATTGAGAGTCCTTCAGAACCTGACTGGGAATTTATTCTTCTCATTGTTTCTATTGTTTCTGGTGACTCACATCCATTCCTGTAACTTAAATTATCATCCACATGTGAATGATGCTAGAACGTGTACTGCCAGGCCAGATCTCTTCTCTGTTTACAAAATGCTTATATTTCAACGATTAGATGTCTCTATAACTGCAACAGTCACCATCCTGTAGCCCAACTATTCCTCCAGCAAGCATCATCTTTTACATAGACTAATGCTTGCTAACCAGTTGGTCTCTCTCAACCTCCAATCTTTCTAGCCAGTATTGCCAACCACAACCTATCTTAATACTATATTCTATAATGTCATAAAATAATGTTTCTAATATATAAATTTTATGTCACTTATCTGTTTAAAACATATAATAGAGCCTCCCTTGTCCAAGAAAAAAATTAACATTAAAATATTAATTAAAATGCAGTTCAGATCTGGCTTCTGTTTTACTCCAATACCTGCTCCATCCAAGTTACATGCTACTTTCCATGCACAGTGATTTGTTTTCAGCTCCTTAAATAAATATTTCTCTCTTGTAGCTAGTCCAAAATATCATTCTCACTCCTTTTGGGAGTTCCTCATACCCTTCTTTCAGCTATCAGGCTAAAGTCCACTCATTATTCAGATCTCTGCTAAGACTATATCTTCCATGAAACTTTTTTTTTTTTTTGACTGCCATGATGCATCAGGTGTCCATCCCAATTGCTGAAGACATGACATTCTTCAGACATTGAACTTGGAACAACTGATCTGGAACTGATCTAGAAGCCTCCTACCTGAACACTAGCTCCCATTCCATAGTATCAGAAGATATGATGCAAACTGCCAAAGAATAAAACCCATAGATGATCCCATCCAGCTGTAAACCACAACAATGACTGGCCCAGCATATAATCTCTACTGGTGCAGTAGTGGCACTTTTATCTTGTGTGTAATCAACAGGCATCTAGTTGGACTTAAGGTCACTCAATGAGAAGGGAACTCATATCTGGTACTGTAAATATAGCCAAATATTCATGACTGGAGAGGTCATAGATTCTAGAGAAAAACTTGCTTTAGTCACATCCCTAGACCAATGTAATTTCTTACTCTATCTTAAAATTTATAATCTTGATAGACTTGTGTGTGTGTGTGTGTGTGTGTGTGTGTGTGTGTGTGTATTCAGTTGACTTCAATCAAATGCAATAATTGGAGCTCATATTGCCCTCTCCCTGGTCAGAGTACACCTCTTTCAAATGCCTGCTGTACTTTTGACATGACCTTAGTACACTTTGGGAAATTCCTCATTATGTGACAAATACAGACTAGCCTGTACATTTCCTGCCCAAGTCCTGATTCACTCGTTTCTGTAGACTATCATTCTTCTGATTATGCATGGTATTTTAGTTGAAAAGTCTTGGTGCTCATTTTACTTTGTTTCTAAGCTTTTAGTGGGAAGAAACAGAAATTACATATAGAAGACACTATAAATTCAATGATATTTTAAAGTCAAATTCAAAATTACTCATCTACTTAGGGGCTTCTCTGCTATACCTATATCTCCTTTCTTTAACCTAAAGAAGCCTCAAAAATAATGAAGATAGAGCCAGGTTTGGCAGCACAGGCCTGCATTCCCAGCTACTCAGGAGACTGAGAAGGGAGACTAAGTAGCCTCTTTGGGCTATTTAATGATACTCTATCTCAAAATTAAAAGTGAAAAATAGGCTTGGGATGTGGCTAAGTAGCAGAGCACTTGTCTAGCATACTAAAGGGTCTAGAGTCATTCCCCAGCGATACAAAAAATAACATATTTAGGATATCTGAGATTCATTTTCATAATGGTCTTGGATTGGGCTTAGGGATGAAGCTCAGTTGGTAAAGTGCTTGTTTAGCATGCAGGAGGCCCTGGTTTGATCCCCAGCACTGCATAATCCAGGAATGTTGATACAGGAAGATCAGAAGTTCAAAGTCATCCTCAGCTGCATAATGAGTTCAAGGCCATCCTGAAATACATGGAAGCTTGTCTCAAAACAGAACAAAACAAAACAAAAAAACTCTGAGTAAAAAAAACTACTAAATTATATTTGAGCTCAGTTACCTACTCTCCATTTAAAACACATTGTAGCATTGTAGCAACCATGTCACATCACACAGACACTTCATATTACATTTTCCCTCTCTGCCCTATATTTCATTTCATCTTGAAGGTAAGACGGTATTCATGTCTACCTCTGATCTTAATATTGGTTTTTCTTTGATCATTCTGGTTATTTAAGCTTATATCTAGTAGGTTCATCAGAAAGTGCATATGGAGGCCATATTTCCCAGATTTGAAGATGCTGCAGCAATTGATCTGTGATCTTCATGTTAGTCATTTTTGCCCATTTAACATCCTTTATTGATATTTACTTTCACTGATTATCTTATATACTACATTTCATTTTCTTCTGATATAAAGTGTTGAATTGTCTGATGACAACTCAGTTTTCTCATCTGAAGTCATGAATTTTCTTGCTCTTGTACTTTCATTGATACTATTTTGCTTTATCTCTCATTCATGCCCATTCTGATTTCTCAGATCATCTGTGATCTTTTCCAATTTATGCTATTCTTTCATTTTTTTGATCATGTTCTTCATGTCTTTCAACTAATTTTGAAATGCTAGGCTGAATATTTTAGCTTTTTTAGCATTTTATGCCATGTTTTTGTTATCTATAGGGAAAATGGCATCCATTTTCTTTTACATTCTTATTATAACTTTAAACAAAATTTTGCTGCAGTAAAATCTTTATTGGTCAACTTATAAAAAATAAATTTTATTAGCCTTTAGGAGGAAATGAAATTTAAGATGGCTTTTATGATTTCATACACTTCCTTCTAGTTTTCTAACACTATCCGAAAAAAAAAAAGTAAAGAAAAAAGAAAAGGCGCCTAAGAACCATAGATGGTAGATAAAATTGTCTGTGTTGTCTGGACACAATAGGACAGTTGCACATATGAACCCATGACAGACAGCATGCACAAGACCTGTTCAAGCCCAAACCAGACAAAAGCCTAGCACATATGTGAGAGATGAGCAAGAAACCCCAGGCCTACCTGCGGATCTATTGACAATTTTTTAAATTTTATTTATTATTTTTATTTTATTTGTATGTGTGTATTGCCTGCACATAGGTAAGTGCACTTCCATTGTGCACTGCTGACAGAGGTCAGAAGAAGCCGTCGGATCCCTTGGCACTGGAGTTATGAACAGTTGTTAGCTGCCATGTGGGTGCTGGGATTCAAACCCAGGTCTTCTGCAAGAGCAGTCAGTGTTCTTAACCACTGAGCCATCTCTCTATTGACAATTTATAACTGCTGGGAGAGTCAATTTTCTTTAGGAAGTCCAATACCTAGTAAGTTGACCGGACTCCAAGAAATAGAGTCATACCCAAGAGTATTTGGAGAACACAACTTAAATGAAATAGGTCTTTTCAAAAAGAAAAATAATAATAGAGGACATGAAGTTGGGGGGTAGAAGTGGGGTGGGCATGAAGATGGGGGAGCAAGTCTGAATGTGATCAAAATACACTGTATGAAGCTTTTGAACAGTAAATAAAAGTATTTTTAAAATATAATAAACACTGCAATTTAAAGTCAAGGATAAATAAGGAGGATTTCCTGTGTGTTTTCTGTTCCCTGTCATGATCTTGACATTCTATTTCATGGTTACTGTCATCCATTACCCTATTCTGATCCATGTCTCACAATTTCTTTCTCATTTTGGGATTCCATTCTAAAAATGGATGCTGAGGGACATCTGTGTACACAAACTTGACTCGATAGGCCTCAACATGTATGACAGAATGCATGAAATCTGGTGGGGGCCTATGGGAGGGTCTAAAAATGATTAAGATGTTTTGTATGAAATGCACAAAAATTCAGTCAAAAATTTACATGGAAAAAAGTGGATGCTGGTGGGTCAGCTTTGAAAGTGCGTCTTCACTGGGCTCTTCAGTCCTAACTTTAACAGAGGTGGGCACACGGTGACTGTTCCAAAGTTAAAGAACCTTCCATGTCCAGACACTGTTCTCCACTTGGCTACAATACCTTCTGAGAACTCTTTGCTTGTTGTGTTCCTCTGTTTTCATGTATACCAGACCCTTCCTTGTTCATTCTAATGTGACCCACAGGCTGTTTTGCTGGTTTTTTGCTTAATGGTGGTGTGTCCTTAACCCCAGAGGCTACCTTGTCATTTAGTTTTATTTTAAGTACTATGGATTTGAAGTACTCCTGTCTAGTTCATCTATCTATTTTTATGCTGTTGCTTCTAACTAACTTTGACTTTAATTTTTTTCAAGCACTTTATTTACAGACCTATTTACAGACATAAGCAAGCTTTCCAATTCATTCAAAAGTCAGCTGTCGATGAAATTCATATAGTTAATTTTACACATGGGTATACTGAAGAACTGTTGAAAATGGCAACACCTCACAAGGCACTAAATTAGCACAGATTTAGTTCCATCAGTCTGTAATGACATGGGCATAACTGAGATACCTGTTATTCCATTGGCGATATGCATCATGAAGTTCTAAGAACTACACCACAGGGGGTATTAGTGAACTCATCTAACATGGATTTTCAGTTAATAGAAATAGTCCTATTAGTAGTAAGTGTATTTTACTGAGTCTCTGACTTATTATTAAGAAAAAAAAAACAGTTCTCTCTGAATTTACAGTAAGTATACAGACCACTGAATGATTTTTCTTTTCTTTTGACAGCTTGGGAAATTATGCATCACTTCATGGAAAAACATACTGCAAGCCTCATTTTAAACAACTTTTTAAGTCTAAAGGAAATTATGATGAAGGTTTTGGACACAAACAGCATAAAGATCGATGGAACTGCAAAAATCAAAACAGCTTAGTGGACTTAATTCCCACCGGAGAATCAAGTGTGTGTAAAAATCCTATAACAGATACTGTCTTCCTTGGGGATCTTACTAAATATGTAGATGTTGGTAACAGTGAATGGCAAAAACATGATTTCAGAAAATTGGGGGAGAGGGGAAAATTAAAAATTATTTGGCCTCCTTGTCAAGAGATACCAAAGAAAAAATTTCCCCTTGAGGGAGAATTCAAAATGAGTAAACCTAAATGGCCACCGGAAGTGACAGTCCCTACGTCCCCGGAAATGAAAAGGGAATCACTGATAGAACACATTAAAACTCTGGAAGTTAAAGGACAGGAACAAGGTAGCTTTCCTCTTCTACAGCCAAGTCAGCATGTATGTCAGAGAGAGGATGCTACAGGAATCCAAGAAATGAAAATGAACGAAACCAGAGAAGATGAGAAGGAAGGACAGAATAATGTGCATGATAAGCTGAGTGATGCTGAGGATGTGGAGAATAAGTGGAAGAGTGGAGTGGATCTTACAGACAGCAGCGTGTTCCTGCACAGTGATGGAAAGGAGAAAAACGGGAACACTAATGAAGCTGATGGTGCAGAAGTTGTACAAGTTACGAACACTGATGATGAGGTGGAGCCAGAAAGCCATAAAGAGAACTTCAATAAGAATAATAACAACAATTATGGAGCTGTCTCATATCTGAATAATTGCAGGCAGAAGATATCTGTTTTAGAATTTCCCCATCTATTGCCAGTGTCCAATGAAGCAACCTATTGTGCAAGCGAATACCAAATTAAAAAGTTAGAAAATGCGTCTAGAATCTCAGAGTTACTTGGTATATTTGAATCTGAAAAGTCATACTCCAGGAATGTCCTGGCAATGGCTCTGGAGAAACAGGCTGACAGAGCGACTGCAGGCGGTCCTGTGCAGTTGGCTCCAGAGCCAGGCTTCCAGCAGGGCTTATCAGTGAAAAGGGAAAGCCTCACAGTCTCTTCCGAAGCAAACCTCTTAAACATTAAAGGAAACCGTGAAAATAACAAAAATTTACACCTTTTCTTTTCTGACGCTGTGAAAATTACCTCTTTTTCCAAGAAAAAAAACATTTTTGAGTGTGATTTAATAGATTCTGTCGATCAATTTAAAAATATGTCATGCTTGTATTTAAGAGAACTTGGAAAGGATATCAAACACTGGCATGGCGAAACTGTCAGAGCAGCTCAGAGAGATAGAAACATAGGGTTTGATGCTCTGAGCCCAAGATATGCGGCTAAGCCCACATTTCCCAGTGTGGAAGGCCAGGCTGAGCATCTCACTGTGGAAGAGCAGATAAAAAGGAACAGGTGCTACAGTGATACTGAGTGAAGCAGCTCCAGCCACTCGCAGTCCACATGCAGGCACTGAGAGATGATGTTCTCAAATAAGACTTCATAGTCATTGATAACCTTTTGATGGAATTCTAAAAATAATGTTTATACCTCTCACCTTCACAGCAGGTTATTTCTTGCATTGTGCTTTATAATTCTTTTCATAATTCATTTGAATTTACTTTTGATCTGAATAGAATGCAGAGATGAAACAATGTGGCTATATTTTCTTTTCAAATGGCACATGAATCATTCTGTTTTTTTCTGTACTACATTGGGAATGAGAGTCTATAAAACTGGTATTTTTCACACTTCTTATCTCTTCTCTGTAATTTCTGATGAAATAAAATTGAAACACCTGGGGTGCAAACTAATAAACTTCTGTGACTTTTTTTCATACTAAGTATTGCCATGCCAACTATTACACATTCCAACATTTAAAAAATATTTGGGGCAGGACAGGTGTGATGGTGCTCGCCTTTAATCACAGCATTCAGGAGGCAGAGGCAGGCGGATCTCTGTGAGTTCAAGGGCCAGCCTGGACTGCATAGTGAGTTCCAGCTCAGCTGGAACTACAACTGTCTCAAAAAGACAAAAATAAAATTTAAAAAAAATTGTGCCTGGAGAGATAGTTCAATCAATAAATACTGGACTTAAAAGCATGAGGACTTGAGTTTAGATTCCCCAGCATCTTCATTAAAAGTCAGTTACAATAATACAGGTCCATAATCCCAAGACTAGGAAGGAAGAGACAAGTGGATTTCTGGAACTTGTTAGCCCATCAACCTGGCCAAATCAGTGAGAGGCTCTGTCTCAAAAAAATAAAGGATGATTTTAAAATTTAGAAATTAAAAAAAAATGTTCGTACTTGTTTTTTAAAAGAAAAATAAAGTGGAGAGAGATTGACAATAACCTGGCCTTCACACACACACACACACACATACACACACACACACACACACACACACAACACACATACATCCACACCTACTTTTTTCTTGGGACAGTTATTTAATCCCTGCAACTCTACTCTCCAAAATAATGTTTTTAAAAATTATAAACCAAACCTATGTTATTATTAGGAAATATAAAATTTCATTCTCCTTTTCGGACTATAGTTTAAAGATATGGAGGTGTTTATGAGTTTTTAAAATAATTACATATATTAAAGACTATCATAGAATACATCTATACAGTTTCAATTAAAATATGAATTTTCCTCTAAAATAGTCTGTTGTCCGTGGTCAAAAATCAGCTCAACTAAAAATATATCTGAAATTACTTAAATTATGCACAGCACTATTTTATTGCTTACTCTATGGTATACATTAGTGTAAAGAGTATAGCACCACAGTTTGTCAAGTTTTGAAAAAATCACATTTGGTGAATATTTTCTTTCCTGTTATAAAAACATTCTTTTGAAACTTTGGCATCTAAATTATCTGCTGATTTTGTCTTTCTTCAAATATTTTTTCTGAGGAAAAAATAGCATGGATATAAATGAGTGGCTTTTGCATTTGGACTGTCATGTATGAAACAGTCCTTAGCCTATCTTCTCCTACATAAATACAAACCGTTGACTTTCTATAAATATGAAGCCCAAAGGCAGTGTTGGAAATATCTTTTTAGAAAGTATAACACATTCCCTCTCTCAAGTAAGTTCTCAACTGTTATCTGAGAGCTAGGTAGTACTAATTCACCCAAACTGTGATAGCAAAATACTATAGGCTGAGGATTTTATCTATTTCTAGAGCAGAATTGGGTTTATTAAAAGTTATTATTTTTTTGCCAGGCATAGTGGTGCATGTCTTTAATCTCAGTACTCAGGAGGCAGAGGCAGGTAGGTCTCTATGAGTTCAAGGAAGGCCTGGTCTACATAGCAAGCTCCAGGTCAGCTGGGACTAAAGGGAGACCCTGTCTCAAAAAGACAAAAAAAGTTATTCTTTATATATTTTATTTGTTATTTTTATTTTGTATGTGAGTGTATTGCCTGCATGACTGTAAGTATGCTTGTGTCATGCAATGCCTGCAGGGATCAGAAGAGGGTATCATCGTATCCCCTGGAACTGAAGTTACAGAGAGTTGTTAGTTACCATGTGGGTGCTGGGAACCAAACCCTGGTTCTCTGCAAGAGCAGCCAGTACTCTTAACCACTGAGCCAGCTCTTCAACCCCCAAAGTTACTTTGAATCAGGAGGCTTACTAGACTCTCTGGAAGAAAGTAAGACACACCACAGAGCATGGGTGTAGGCTTCTGTCCTAGTTTGTTCTTCATTGCTATGACAAAATACTCTGACCACTACCAACTTGGGGAGGAAAGGATTTATTTAGCTTACATATCCTGGGTCACAGTTCATCCAGGAGCCTGAGAAAGAAACTCAGGGCAGGAACCTGGAGGCAGGAGCTGGAGCACAGGCCATGGAGGAGAGCTGCTTACTGGCTTACTCTCCTGGCCCCTGCTCAGCCTGCTTTCTTATGTCTTATGCACCTATCTGCCCAGGGGTGGCACCACCCACAGTGGGTTGGGCCCTCCCACATCACTCATCAAGAAGATGCCCCTCAGACATGGCCACAGGCCAGTCCAATGGAGGCACTTCCCCAACTGTGGCTCCCTCAACCCAGGTGTATCAAGTTGACACTAAAGCTATCCAGCACAGCCTTGCACACACCATTTCATTAGGGAATGTTCCCTGCTATATTGGCCTAGGTTAAACAGCCTATGTCTCAAGGATGGATGGATTCATAGTCTCTTTTAAAAGTCTCAACTGTGGGTGGGCTTCTGTAAAATCCAAAACAAGCACTGTCTTATTTCAAAAGGAAGAATCGGGCACACCTAAGCAAAACCTAAGCCCAGCAAAGTAGCTTGAGGCTGGACATCTGGGATTCACTCACGATCTCCTGGGCTCGAAAATGTACTGGCAGCTCCATTGCTCTGAATTCAGTCCACAGCACACTCAGCTTGTCTCGCAGACCCAGGCCAGCTCCATTCCACACCTGCCTCTGTCCTTGGTGGTTGTCCCATGGTCCCGGCATCTCCAAAAAGCTAGGGTCGCCACTGAAGCTGAGGCTGCACCCTCACCAATGTCTTCTTCTGGCTTCTCGGGGTGCAATGCTTCAGATTCTCTACATGACCTCTTCAATCCTGGGGTCTTCTCTGCAACTGAAGCGGCACTTTCACCTATGGCCTTTCCTGGCCTCCTAGAGTGCCAAGCCTCAGCTGCTCTCTATGACCCCTTCACGCTTTCAACACCAGAACAGTACAGGAGACTCTTACACATTACCAAGTCCTGCTTCCAGCTTGAGATAGAGGCTTGGGTCCCCTCTGTGTGCTGACCCTGAGGAAATACCTCCCAGAAGACTCCACCACAGTGATGCTGGTCTCTTGTTACTTACAGCTGATTTTTCAGCCCTAGCTAACCAGCATCAATTGTCCCAGTAAAGCAAAGGTTTTACTTCAGGTCTGGTCTCTTCTTAATCACAGCTGATTCTTCAACCCCAGCTGACCAGAACCCACAGATTCTTAATTCAAAATTTTACATGAATAGCCCTGATAGTCTCTACTTCCCTTTGAAGCTTCACAGGCCAGGCCTCTATCATCTACAACTCTTTCAGCATAACTGTTCCAAGCTCCACAGCAACAAACTCTGAGCACGCAATGGTTTTCCAGCCCAAAGTTCCAAACACTTCCCACAGTCCTCCCGAAAACACCAAGGTCAGGTCTGTCATAGCAATACCCCACTCTCTGGTACCAATCTCTGTTCTGGTTTGTTTCTTCATTGCTGTGACAAAATACTCTGACCACTACCAATTTGGGGGGGAGAGGGTTTATTTAGCTTATATATCCCAGGTCACAGTTCATCCAGGAGCCTGAGATAGAAACTCAGGGCAGGAATCTGGAGGCAGGAGCTGGAGCACAGGCCATGGAGGAGCATTGCTTACTGGCTTGCTCTCCTGGGCCCTGCTCAGCCTGCTTTCTTATGCAACATAGGCCCACCTGCTCAGGGGTGGCACCACCCACAGTGGGCTAGGCCCCCCATATCACTCACCGAGAAGATGCCCCTCAGACATGGCCACAGTCCAGTCCCATAGAGGGAATTCCCCAGTTGAGGCTCCCTCAACCCAGGTGTGTCAAGTTGACACTAAAGCTATGCAGCACAGCTTCTTAAAGAAAAATCTCCCAGACCGGAAATCGTAAATAACGAAAACTTGCTTTCTCATGGTTCTGTAAGTGGGAAGTTCAAGTCAAGGTTGAGGGAAGCAGAGTTGGTTCCCATTACGGCCTCTCTCCTTGGCTTGTAGTGGCAGTGTTCTCACTACAGTCCTCACATTCTCTTCCCTAAGTGTTTTCACACTCCCCAAGCCACATGCTCTTCTTATCAAGAATGCATCCTCACCAGGTTAGGGACTGCATGACTTCACGCAGCTTGTAGTAAATCTTTAAAGGACTGATTTCCAAATTTAGTCACTGTGAGTGTTAACATAATGATTTTATGGGGATGTAATTCAGTTCATAACATGTACGTTTTTATCCAGCTTAGTAAAATGCTGTGAAATACTGACAACAAAATGGCAAACCATGGGGCCAGAAAAATTGAATTATTACACTTTTCACTATTTTTGTGTATTCTTAATGACACAAACGTTATTTTTATTGGCATTTATGTTAAGATAACACAGAAGTTTCTATAAAGGAAGAAATAATGTATGAAAACTCATGACAATATCTAAAAGCATAGTTACTTAATGGCAGTGATCCTTTTATGAGTGACTCAAAATAAAAAGGATACATTGAAAGAAATGTGACTCAGTTTACAAAAGTAAACTTCAGACTCAGACTCTGCCCACTTAATCTTGGTAACAGAAGAATCTCTGCTCCATTTGTCAATATCTAGCATTATGCTAATATTTACATCCGTAAAAATAATAATTTTACTTAAATAACAAGGTATTTTTGAAAAAAAATACTTCTAAGTTAAAAATGGCATCTTCTTATTGTTGGCTGCTTTAACTATCTAATTGCAGTTGTATTTAGTAATTGGCTCATTTGTACTCTGATAAAAATTTCAGCTAAATAAGAAGCTTAGGAACTGAACAAAAAATTCAGTGACTTTTCTTGTTGTGGGAGGTAGTATACATTTTGCTACGGCCACCAAAACAAAGTAGCACCGAGTGAACAACAGAAACAATAGACGATGATTTTCTCTCAATTCTGTGGGCTAGAAATATTCAAGATCAAGTTATCCACGGGACTGATTTCTTCTAAG